CGCGGCCCGAGGGGCGGCGCCGGCCCGGGGAACCCCAGAGGTGGCTGGAAAAGGCTCTGCCGAAGGGACAGCCCCGGGCCGGCCAGCCAGCCGGCGGGCAGGCCAGCTGCTGCAGTGGGGGTGGGGACAACAACAAACCCTCCATGCCCCATGGAAGGGAGGGGCCTCCCAGCCTCCCCACTCCCCAGAGACTGTCAGCTTAGCTCATTCAACACCCATTGTTTTACCGTGTCCTGCTCTCCAGCCTCCCAGCTTTTGCTCACACTGTACCTCCTCCTGGATGCCCTCCCCCATCCTCCCCACCGTCACCCGTGTTCCTTTCACCCAGCTTCATCCTACTTGGACGTTAAGGCTCAGCTCAAGGGTCTCCCCTTCCAGAAAGCCTTCCCTGATGCCCCCCTCCCAACCTCCAGGGTGCCCACAGTAGTTTGCTCGGCTCCTTGGCTCTTCACAACGGGCGGGAGGATTGCTAGTCCCAGTTGATAGCTGAGCACATAAGGCACAGAATGATCGAAGATGACCCAGCAGCTCAGCCACAGAGCCAATGGAACCCAGGTGTCTGGGCCTCACCTGGCCCCCAGGAGGCCCCAAAGGGTGCCTGTCCTGCTGTAGCCCACCCCACCCCATCTCACTCAGCAGTCTTTATTGCTGCCTCTCTCCCAGCCAGGCCAGGGACAGAGGGCATTCTCCAGCCACCGCCTCCATCTGGTTGGACACAAGGTCGCTCACATCTCATCCTTCCTGTTAGAACCCTGCATCTCCCATCTCCTTCAGAACAAAAGCCCAAGATCATACCGCAGCCAACAGGTCCTGTGTGAGCTGGCTCCCCATTTCCTCCAACCCCGCCTCCTACTATTCTTCCCTTGCTCCCTCCACTCCAGACCCCCTGGGCTTCTGGCCAGTCCAGGCACACACATCCACCTCAGGACCTTTGCACATGCTGTTTCTGCCTGGGCCTTTCCCTAAAGCTCTGCACATCTCACTCCCTCACCTCCTTCAGACCTACACAAATGTCATGTTCTCCACAAGGACTTCCCAGGCCACTTTTTAAAAATTGCACTATCATCTCCCCCCTCCTTCCTAGCCCCCCCCAGACCTGTCCTTTCCAGGCCCCTTTTTCTGCAGTATTCTCTCCATAGCACTTTTTATCTTCCAACACCCTGTATATTTTACTTATCTATTGTGTGTCTTTCTCATGAATATATCAGGGCAGGGGGTTCTTTTTTATTCACCGAATCTCCACTGCCTAGAACAGTGCCTGGCCCACTAAAGAAATATTCATTAAACACAAGAAAGTACCAGATGGCTGGTGAATTGGACTGGGCCTGCTGTGGCCCAAGCCTGTACTAGGCGTTTGGGGGGAGAGGAAAGGAGAACCAACCCTTTTGAATCACCCTCCTGTGGGCCAGCCCCATGCCAAGGCCCCTCATGGCCCATCTTCTCAGAACGGCATCTTCGAGGGATGATGCCAGGCTTCATGCCACACAGACCAGAGTTCAAATCCTGACTGGGCTACTTACCAGCTATGTGGCTTCGGTCAAGTTACTTCACCTCTCTGAATTTTAATTTCATCATTTAACAAATGGAGACAAAATTAAGACATGGTGAGAATTAAGGGGTTAGTGGGCTTCTCTGCCCAGTAAAGGGACACCTACCATGGGACCAGACAAAGCCAACTGCCTCACTGAGGTCCCGCAATGTCACCCAGACTCATGTCCATAGACCAAGCACTGGGCCAGGCATGCAGCAAGAAAGTGGGGAGGTCCGTTTACCCAAATGAGCATTACCCGGTCTCCACACCCAGGGAGCCCACGGCCACCCTCAGAGACCCACCATCCTGCCACAAGGCATGACTGAAAAGTCCCAAGGCCTGGCAGAATCAAGCAGGCCTCCTGGAGATGGTATCTGAGCCAGACCTCAAAAGACACTAAGATACAGGCAGCCCCCACCCCTGAACTTGGACTTCCCAGCCTCATTTCCTACCACCCCCCAGGTGGCCAAATTCAACCCATTTTCTGTCTCTGAGACTTCACTCTGGGGATTCCCTCCACCTAGTAACCCATTCCCCACCCCAACCTCCAGGGGCTGACCCCCAAGTTCATCACTAGGACAGAGGGCAGCCATAGGATGACCAAGGACAGCACTTAGGCACATAGGTCCAATAAATACTTCTTGAAGGAATCCCAGACCCTAAGCTGAAGCAGCACCCCCTGTGGTAATCCTGCCTGGACCATCCTCTTGCCGGTGGAAGGGTCTCAGGACCTGATTGCACACAGAGGGTTTGCTCTTGGTCTCCTGGACTCAGCAGCCGAGCTCCTTAAGCCAAGACCATACCCTGCTATCCTCAGTGTCCCCTCTCCAGGGGATGCTCCTCTGAGGATCAGACACAGGCAGGGCTGAGCGTGGAGGTGGCCCATCTGTGGGGCCCTTCTTTCGTCATTCGGGGCAGGTAAGGTGATGCCAGCAGATGGCGGGCGGCTCTGGGATGAGTCAGGAACGAAATCTGATCCTTCCCATGGGCAAGCGGGGGCCTGAGAGGTGGTATCAGCCTGATCTAGGGGTGGGGATGAGCCGGGGGAGTGGAGAGGGGGCCCTGGGCCAGGGAGGCGAGCAAGCAAAAGGCCACCAGCTTCTATGACAAACTGTTTAATGTTCCATAATGTGCAGAATCTGAATGAAAAAGGCCCGTTAAAAATCAACAGGCCGTACATTCTGGTGACGGAGCAGCCGGCCTTCTCCCCACTGTCCCTCTGAGAGGCAGGTCACTGCAGGGAGACGGCGCTGTGAGAACATGGTCCTCGGTGTCCTCCCCAGGCACACACGAGGGTTCGTGCCCAAGTGTCACGGGGCGGGGTGTGACATTTACACAGGAGAGAACCACAGACATACACGTGACGAGAAGACGTGAGGGGCCCGGTGGGCCAGGGAAGCCACGGTGCCCACACGTGGAGGTATACACAAGAAACGTGAGCGGGGTGCGGGGGAGGGGCACGCGGGGCGGGGGAGGGGGTTCCTTGAACAGAAGGGAATGAGGACCCAGGAGACCTCATGTGCCTGCCGTGAGAACCTGGGTGTGTAAACCAGTGCACAGGAGTGAGAGCTCAGATGCTCCCGGGGGGCAAGGAGGACAAGGACACAGACACGTGCGTGGGGCCCGCGACTGGAATCACGGAGGCACGGGGAGCACTGAAGGCCCAGAGCAGCAAGTACGGGGGCGGTGGGAGCTCCGCCCCGAGGGCTCCTGGAAATTCGCTCGGGGGAAAGCCCAGAGCTGGGGGCCCCACGTCGGGGAGGCCAAGGGTCTAGGAAGGCTCAGGACGAGGAGGACCCAGCTCCACTGCAGACACCGGGGTCCGCGCCGGGGGCTCCGTGGGCGTGTGAGGAGGCCGCAGGCACCAGAAGGGGCCCGTCAGGCCTCGCTGCTGCCGCCGCTGCCCCCGGCGCTGCTGCCGCGCTCCACCCACACGAGGCGGGCCTGCTCCTGCAGGATGCGGCCGCGCACCACCTTGGCCAGCCCCTCCGCGTGGCCCCACGCATGCGCAGGCACCTGCACCCAGGAGCAGGGCAGCCCCCAGAGCACCTGCTCCGAGCGATGGCACTGCCGCAGCAGCTCCGAGTCCCGGCAGCCGGGCCGGCCCAGCAGACCCCTGCCGAGAGAGCGGGCGGGCAGCGGTCAGAGCGGCGGCGAGGGCGGCCAGGGACACAGAGACACACCAGGATCCGGAGAGCCAGAGGGAGCGCGGACAGATGCAGAGGACAAAAAGACACAGAGACAGAGACATCCAAAGAGGAGGAAGGGCTGGTCCCACCCACCCCCACCCTTCCTTACCTGACTTCCCGGACATTCTTCTCTGTCACCTCCACGTGGATGACAATGGGGTAGATCTCGTTCTGGACCAGCTCCCGCACGCCCCGTGCGCCCAGCTCCAGCAGGCAGTGCTTCTTCTCAGGAGACCAAGGCTACATTTTACTCCGGCCCGGAGACACCAACCTCCCTGCCCCCACGGGGCCCCACCCCCTCCAGAAGGGCCTTGGCAACAAGGAAAGCGCCACAAGGGAAGGCGGGAGGGACGCCTGGGGAAGTAAGTCACATCCCCGCTCCGGACCTCAGCCTGGCCATCGATAGGATGGAGCAAACCCCACCGCCACCCCCATGCCTGGCAGCCCCTAGCCAGCCCCCAAGGGAGTGGCGAATCTGAGATGGGATGGACGGGTGAGACGGACCAGCCAAACACCTCAAAGGTGACCCACGTTTGGCTGGCCCAGCGCTCCCATTCGCAGGTGAGGAAACAGGCCCGTGGAAGGGCAGGGCCTTGTCCAGCGCCTCTCAGACTCCAGCCCTCCGGCCCAGAAAGGCAGCCCCCCACCCCAGCACCTACCTTCCCGACAGACTCCTGGATGGCACGGAGCCTGCTGCCCAGCCCAGGGGTGGCAGGCTGGGCTTTGGGGGCTCCAGGTGCTGAGGATGAGCACTGTTCCTCCCCAGAGAGGCTTTCTGCAGAGAAGTGAGACGCAGGGAGGAAGGGCCAGTGGGCTTGGCTGCCCCGGGGTGCCACCCAGCCCTCCCCATCCCTCCCGTCCCCGGGCACAGGCTCACCCGCCGGGCACACTTGGAAGTCCAGCCGGGAGTTGGGCAGGTCAAGCAGGTTGCGGATGAGCCGGGGTGCCAGGCACTCGGGCAAGAGCACCACGGGCCGCAGGGCGGACACCAGCAGCGGGCGCACCAGGCTGTAGGGTTTGAGGCTTCGCTCGGGCTCTGCAGGGGGATGGGGTACAGAGGAGATGAGGGAGCAGGCAGAGTCCCCAGCTCCCCGTTCCGAGGGTGGCCAGCCCCCTCGATACTCAAAACCCCATCACCTCTTCTCAAGCCCCCCATCTCTTTTCCTTTCCTAAGTCTTACTATTGCTCTTCCTGGGTGTGCGTGCACTTGCACACAAGCGTGCGCGTGTGCACGCGCGCGCACACACACACACACACAGAGCAGAGCTGCCCCCTCCTGGCTGGCACCTCTAACAGCAGCCTCGAGCCCCATCCCCCACCTCACCCTTGCCCATTCCAGACCATTCTCCTCTCAGCAGCCAGAGAGAGGCTTTAAAACGAAAGTCAGATCGCGTTACTCCCCTGCTTTCAATGTGCCAGTGACTTCCTACGACCCTCGGGAAGAAGGCCACATCCTCCACATGGGTGACCCAGCCCTGCCAGAGCCTAGAGAGGCAGCGACCCAACACATGGATCAACTGCCTCCAATCACAGGGCTTCTGCATGACTTGGGGAGGCCTAGCCACACCCCAGCATCTCCCGGCCCACATAACCCCAATTCTCCCTTCAGAGCCCACGTTATACCTTCCCTGGTCCCCAGCCGTGCAGGGCCTCCGGCATGTGCCCCAACGCACCCAGTTCTCCTCTAGTACACGTGCCACACTTTGTAATCATATTTGCAGGTAGGATTATCTGACTGGCAGGCAGCTGCACCCCCCCACACCCCCACTAGGCAGTGTGCTCCAAGGGGAAGTGCCACAGTGTCCCCTGGACCAAGCACAATTCGCGACAGAGTTGGCGTTTGATAGGCACTTGCTGTATTCAATGGCCTGCACACACATCACACACAGCTATATACCTCAGTGCCTTTACACGGCTGTGCCTTGTGCCTGGAACAAACTCGTCTTCCTCCCTGAAAACCCTACCTCAATTTCCCTTCCAGGAAGTCTTCCCTAACCACCATCTTCTTGCCTCTCAGGATTGCTACCCCCTCATCTGGGCTCCCCCAAGCCCTTCTTCCTGATCTAACCCAGGGCCTCCCCTATTGCCTCCAGAAACCCACTCTGGGCTCTTCGTGGCGCCCGCCAGCACACACATGTGAGAAGCGCAGCTACACCCACTCCGCCAGACAAGAACAGAGCCGTGCTCGTGTGTGCCCCAAAGTCATACAGACCCACAATCACACTTGCACACATGTGCCTCCTCTGACTGGCTCCCTCCACCCTGGTGGCCCATGTCCCCCCCACAGGGAGCCTCTCAGGTCCCTGGACGCCCTGTTCCCCGCTGGAGGAGCCAAAAGGACCACCAAGGTCCCAGGCCCCCCACATGTGCACACTCGTGGACACCGTGACCAGCACAGGACATGCCTTGGCCACAGTGCGCTCACCTGAGCAGGGCTCCAGCAACAGCTGCTCTGGAGAATCCCCCGCAGAGCTTCCCCCATGTTTGGGCTTCACCAGCCGGAGTTGGTCCAGGGCTCGCTTCTTCAGCTGGGGAGGGGGCAGAGAAAGAGGAGGCCCTGAGAGCCCTGCTCCATCCCACCCTCAGGGAGGAGAGGATGGACAGGACCTCCGGCAGAGCGGGCCGGGCTGCCCCTGCTGTCCGGGCTCTGTGGAAGAGCTTGGGTCAGCAGAAGGGCCCCCTCCCCACCAGGCCTTCTCCTGCCCTCACCCAGCCCAGTGCAGAGCCCCCCACCACAGGCAGGTGAGGGAACCATCCCTATGGGCCCAGGGAAGCAAGCTTGTCAGTACCAGTTAGAGCTAGAGGCGCCTGAGGTCTACCCAACCCCACTTTACAGATGGGGAAACCGAGGCCCGGGGAAGGCCCTGAGGAAGCTAATGTCACATAAGAGACAAACTTTGGGACCCCTTCCAATGAATTAGCAATGTGACCTGGTGTAAGAAGAAAAGAACAACAGTAAAGACAGCACCAATCACACAACCAACAGCTACCAGATGTCAAGTGGCTACAATGTGACAGACTCTCACTAAGCCCCAGATGTCATGAGCTCACTGAAGCCGCCAGGCAGGCAACGTAACTCCCCCATTTCACAGGCGAGGAAACAGAGCCTCAAGGGAGGGTCAGGTGCTGGTCCAAGATGGCAAGGCACGTGGCAGAGCTGGGATTCGAGCCTGGGCGGCCTGGCTCCAGAGCCCGAGTTCTCATCCCCTCGAGCATCATGGCCTCTTGAGTTATTTTTACTTCTCTGAGCCTCACTTTGCCCGTGTGGACACGGGGAGATTCACCCAGCCCAGCCCTTATGCGGGGACTGGAAAAAGGGGTGTCCCTGCTGCTCTGTCAAGTGCTTACAGTGGCCAGGCCAGGTCCTGAGCACCAGGCACCCACCACCTCCTTTAACCCTCTCAACACCCCTGGCCAGCGAGCCCCGCCGTTGTTCTGTTTGCCCGGCATGCAGTAGACCATCAACCACATCCAGGGGAAGGAGCGAAGTGGGGACTTCCCTCCCCTCCTCCCCGCAGGGCTTCCAGAGAATGGAACCCGACCTCTCCCTTTGGGAGCCCACCCCTGGCAGTCCCTTGCCAGCCCACCCAGTACTGCTTACATTACTTCGGGACCCTCGGTGGCGGCTGGAGGGCAGGCCTTTCTCCCGAACTTCTAGGAGCTGCTGGGCTCTGTGGGGTAGAGGTGGGGGACACACATCATGCATTTGTAGGGAGAAAGGGAGCCCCCCTTCGGCCCCCCTCATCCTGTCCCAGAGGGTTGTGAGGGGTTGCAGGAAGAGGGGAAAAGTCTCCCAGCCTGCTCCGGGCTCCCTGTGGGACCTGTCCCCAGACTCGCAGGTCTGCATCACCTCTGGTAGTTGGGCACAGTGCCCCGGTCCAGGTCCCGCAGCGTCAGGGGGTCGACCCGGGTGCAGAACCACTCCTGCCGCCGCTTGTACGCTGGGTCCACCAGACGCAGGATCTCCTGGGCTTTCACACACAGCGCATGAGGGTCTGCTCGCTCGGGCACGGTGAGGTTGGCTCGGATATAGAAGGGCTCGGTGCTCAGCCCCTTTGTCCAGGCGTCGAGGGCCTCGTGGAAGGACTGACAGGCTGAACGTGGGAAGGGCAGGGGCAGCAGGGAGGACAAGAGGAGGACAAAGTCAGGGAGCAGCCTCGGGCCACAGGCATGCCCCTTTCAAGGCCTGGGCTGCCAAAACCCTACCTTCTCCTTCTTAAAGTCAGAGCCTGAGGCGCAGAGAGGGCAGGGACCTGCCCAAGGCCACCAAGCCCACTAGGAACAGAACCAGGACTTGAACCCAGGTCTCTGGACTCCTGTCTAGTGCTCCTTTCACAGTAAGCTCCTTACTGAGGAGGAGATGGACAACTAGCAAGGGGACCGCAGTGCGGGAGGGAAGGGCACTGCCAAGCGTCAGGCAGCGAAGTGTCTGTCTCTCTCTCTCTCTCATGCCTTGGTTGTCCCACCTACACAATGGGCTGGACAAGCCCTCTCTTGGGCTCTCAGCTCCATCCCTCTAGGACCCGGAGTCCCCAGTTCCTCCCCACCCCGGACCAGACTTACCCTTGAAGTCCATCAGGAAGGGGAGCGTGGACACCTGGTTCCAGGGCAAGGTTCTCTGCTGGACCTCACCTTCCAGGCCTGCCCCCTCCAGGCCAGCAGCCTCGGCCCTTGGCTGGGAGAAAACCCAGGCAGGCAGGGAAAGAAGTGAGCTTCCCAGGGCAATACAGCCCTGGGGCTGGAGGAAGATTGGGGTGGGCATGACATGTCCCATAATTCAGATGCCCCCACCTGCCAGGATGCCTATCCAATCAGACCCTTCTCCCATCAACAGGACTCCCTATCCAGGCTGGCACATCCTGGTCTCTCCCATGTTTAAGGGTGGAGATCTGTCCAGGTGCCGTCAGTTTGCCCCACCTCCCAGCCCACCTGCCTGATCAGATTTAATGTGCTGCTGGTTGAGGTAGGGCAACCCGTGTGTCATCTCTGAGCCTGCCTCTGCTTTGGTCAACCCCCAGAAACACCGCCCAGTGACCCAGATCCACCAATCAGAGGGCTCCAGCCCCAGCTAATGCATTGGCTCCACCCCCAACTCAGAGGGGCGGGATCTCACCTCTCTGGACTCCGCCCTGGCAGACCCTGGCCCAGAGAGCACCCTCCGCACCACGGCCCCAGACCAGCTGTCCCCAAGGAACGACAGGCCATCTGGGCCCTTGTCCTGGGACTCGGGCCCCCCCGGGGGGCTCCGGCAAGACACCCGGATGGCCAGAGACCTGGGAAGAGAGAAGGGAGAGGGGAATTAGAGTTGTATTTCCACGCGGTTCAGCCTTCTTGGGAGAACCATCACAGCCATCCCCCCAGTGTGCCATGACGCCCACCCTGGGGCCAGTGCACCTGCCGCGCCGCTGGAACGCCGTTCCTCCTCTTCTCTGCCTGGCGAATGCCGCTCATCCTGCAAAGCTCAGTTCCAAAGCGACCTCTCCCTCCCAGCCCCGTGCACACGTGAGATAGCGCTTTTCCCGCAGGACCGCACCATCTGCACCCGGCCAGGAAAAGCCCCTGGGAACCAGCCTGCTCTCGTGCTCAGCTCCGGGGCCCTAGCACCAAACACCGTGACTAGCACATAGCAGACGACTAATAAAAGCTTGTTATGCTCACAGTTGAGGGAGGAAGGTCACCATTAGAACACAACACAGACCAGAGATGGTTACAGCCGGCCATGGGAGCACAGAGGGGAGCAGCTTCCCAGAGGAAGAGGCCGCGGGGCTACACCGTGGTGGAGAGGAGAGGCGCTTCGGGAATAGACAGAGAGGAGGTGGTGTTCCAGGCTGAAGGGCTGGCAGGGGCAGAGGTGTGGAGGACAGAATACAGGATGTGGGGAAGGATTCAGTAACAACAGTAATAATAGCAACAGCGAACACTTACTGAGTGCTCCCCATGTGCCAGACGCCATGCTAAGCTCCTTGTCCTAATTAGCTAATTTAACATCATGGGAAACAGCTCCCAGAAAGGGCTAGCTGGAGCCAGCCTGCAGAGGGCACGGAATGAAGGCGTCTGGCCTTCCCCTTGTGGGCAGTGGAAACCACTGACGGTTAAGACAAAGAGTCACCCAGATCCCCATCATAGCAGCGTTCTTCCTGTCCCTAGAGAGAACTGGTAAGGCCCAGGGGCCAGCTCAGAGACAGCTGCCTGGAATTCCCTTCCCTGACTCTCCCCCCAGCCAGGCCAGAGCATCAGGGAAGAGGAGAGGCCAGAGTGTCCCCCGCCTCCCCATCCCCCCCCCACAACTGCAGCCCACGCAGCCACACCGCCCCCTGCTGCCAGCATGGGGTGAGCAAGGCTACAGGGCCTTTAACCCAATCGGCACCCCGTGCGGAGCGGGGAACTTTGACCCCCCCCCCACGAAGCCTTTCTCGGCTTCTACGCCCTCAGTCAAAAACAGCCAAACCCGAGGGGCTGCAGCTGGACGGGGCGGGGGGCGGGGGGGCCAGGGGCATCCGCGCTGCCTTCATGGGCTCCTTCGGCCCGGGACTGTCCTGGCTGCATGTATGTATCCCCACCAGAGACGGGAGGCCCGAGGCTGGGCTGGGCTAGGCTGCCCCGAGGCTGGAGAAACACAGTCCCGCTCCACACGCAGCATTAACTGGGCCCCGGATTTGGACGAGTGAGTGGCTGCTTGATTCTGTCACCACATCCATAAAGCCAGGACAGTAATGGCACCTTCTCCCACCGCGGGTGTGACGGTCAGACAAATGGAAAGATCATGCGGGTAGAGTGGAAACCAGAGGGCTCCAGGGAACACCCGGCTGCAGGCCTGGCCCCAGGAGGGTTGTGAAATTCACAAGGTCACGGCCAGCGCTGTTTCTGATTGGAATGGAATAGAAAATGTAAGCCAGCCGCGCTTCGAGTAAATCCAACTATTGTCTCGCGATCCTTTTCCGGCATGTGTACTGGGTGTCTGTCGCTGTGGGGTGCCATCAGGGGGAGTCTGAGGAAAATGGCACCAGCAGGGACTCTGGGGCCAGACGTCCTGGCTGCGCAGCCTCTGGTCCTCAGCAGCCCCGGCGGCATCCACCCACCTCATCAGGGGACTCAATTAAACGTGGAGTGCTCTTCGAACGTGGCCAGGTAACACTGAGTGCCCAATCAAAATTGGACGTCTACTGTTCTTAGGTGTGGCCCCCACTTTCCCCACCTGTTCCAGACCCACAGACAACCGAGCATCACGGCTTCCCCAGTCAAGAGCCCAGCCAGCAGCCTGCACTCAGCCCTTCCCGGTCCCACCTGCTCGCCCCCCACCCCCTGCCCTGGCACACCACCCCCATCCCCAGCCCTGCAATCCCTGAAACCCCAGACCAACCCGGCTCAGGCACTGCCCTGAGGCAGGACACCCCTGCCCAACTCCCTGAGGGACCAAGTGACTTCTCTGGGCCTCCATGGCCCCCCTGGGGAAGGGGGGAGTGGCCACCTGGGGGCTCCCTGGGGCCAGGTCCAGTTGGGTCCCTCTCAGCACCGGGCCTCAGCAGACAAGTGCATGGTTGGGGGGGGCGGGGGGGCGGGGAGGGGCTGCCTGCTCCAACCTCTGGACTCCTGGGTCTCTAGTAACACAATCTGACTGACCCCAACCCTGCCTGTGAGTGGTGGGAAGGATGCAGCCCCCATCTCCCAGCCCCTCCCCCCCACGTCCAGTCAGGAGTCGGGTCACAGAGGGAAACGGGGCCAGTCCTTCACTCTGACCAGTGATGGGCCAAGTAGCCCGGATGAGTGCTCCCCCGCCCCAGTGCACTGTGGGAAGACCTCTGGGCCGGGCACATGACTGCTCTGCTCCAGGCCAGGGACCTATGAAGCTCAGACTCAAGCCTGTCACATAAATTACCTCATTTAACCCTCCCGACAGCCCCATGGGAACCATCTGTGAGCCCCCATGTTAGAGAAGGGGGAAACTGAGGCACGAGGAAGTTATAACTTGACAAGGGTCACCCAGCCAGTGGGTGGTGGAGTAGAGCAATAATCTCTCTGGGCAAGGGCAGCTGATGCCAGAGATTTGGCATCCATGTGACCAGTGTGGGTGGGGGCGGGGGCCTGCCAGGGAGACCCACCCTGACATTCACCCAGGGACCCTCGCCCAGCGCTCACCCCCCCTCAGCGCCCCACTTACACTCTCTGGCTCTTCCTATCTTCCCGCCTGCCTGGGTGTCCATCCAGCCTCCAGCCTGCCCCAGCACACCCACTGTTCCAGCATCCCGTGCCCTGCCCCAAGGCTCGAGGAGCCCAGAAGGGCAGGGGAGACCAGGAGGCTGCAAAGGCCCAGCACACAGTGTGCACAGACCACAAGCATGAGGTGAAAATAGTTTAGCTGGAAGGAAGGTACCACGGAATCCCCAACTCCACCACCGAGTGGCCTTGGGACAAATTCCTGACTCTCCCTGGGCCTCAGGGTTGTCATCTGTATAAGGGGGCTAAACGCACCAGCCTTGCAGGGCTCCTGTGGGAACTGAGCAGCACCAATCACAAGAGCAGAGAGCTACCATTACACTCGCTCTGGGCCAGGCACTGCTCCAGACACTCTAATGGGGACCCTGGAACCCCACGACAACCCCATTTTACAGAGCTGGAAACCAAGGCCGTGGGAAATACAGTGACTTGCCCAATATCCCTCTGTAGCAGGTGACAGAGCCCCAACGTCTGTTCTTCCCCACTGGGCTCTGCACGGTAACACCGGCCCGGGACATGCATGAACGCACGCAGGCAGCACCCCACGCACCAGTCCGGGCTCCCCGCTCCCCCCACAATCTATCCACATCTTTCTCTCTCAGTCCACCACCCCTGCCCCCGCCCCAATCGGTTCTCTCCCCCCACTCCTCCCCAGGAACTGCAGAGGTGGCCCCTGGGATCCCAGGCCCGGGCGGGGGCTGGGCCAGAACCTCCTGCCCCCATGCCCCCTGGACAGCAGCCAGGACCCCTGCTGCAGGCCGAGCTGGAGGAAGGGAGGCAGGCAGGAAGGGAGGCGCCTCCGCCCCTTCCCCCAGAAGCACGTCCTGCACAGGGAGAAACAATGTCGTACTGGGCCTGCTGCCGGAGGGCAAGAGTGGGGGCAGGGGCCTGGACCAGGGCCTGGCCAAGCTGCTCAGGCCCCTGTTCCTGCTCTGCCCCAATTTCTTGTGTGGCCCATCCTCTGCATCCAGCATCCCCACAGGTCCAGCTCTGACGTTCCGTGCTTTGTATGCCCTTTCCCAAACCCAAATCTGACCGGGTCACTGGGGACCATGGCCCTGGCGCTTCCCAGCTGTACGACCTCAGGCAAGTGGCTTAACCTCTCTGAGCCTCAATTTTCTCGTCTGTAAAACAGGGATGATCCTAACAACACCCACCTCCCCCAATGGAGAGAATGCTGTGAAGCAGCCAGCTGCAACAGCCAAACCTTGCCGCGTTTTCCGGAGCAGAGTGTAGAAGCCAAAGTCCACACTTTCCCGCCTGACTCACACCGCCAGCCTGACTCACCGAGCCTGCCTGGCCCCCTCCCCCTCCCGCTCCAGTCAGAGCCAAGCCCCGGGCTCTCCCTGGACAGCCTCTGCCCTCTGCTCTTCCCCAGCTGCCCTCCCTACCTGAGTTCCAAGGCCACATTCTCAGCACGGCCTCCTCTCTCCCCCGCCCTCCCGAGACCCACCGGCGAGCCTGACCAGGGAGGTCACTCTGAGCCAACACTGACAGAGCACTTGGCCTGCAGTGCATGCTGAGCCCGTCTGTTTTGTGACTCTTGTCACGGGCTGTGGCCAGCCCAGCTGCAGGGCTCCCATGGTGGCCCCACCCCACCCACAGCACGAAGCTCTGCTGGGAGCTCAGAGCCGGGGGAATGAGTAACAATTACCATTTACTGAGCACCTATTAACACGCCTGGCAAAGCAGGCTACTTTCCTGACACGAGTCCTAAACCCCCAAACGCCGCCCCCCCATGCCGAAGAGATCACTGACCGCCTTCGGCAGAGGAAACGGAGACCCAGAGAAAGAAGTGACCAGCCCAAGTCACCCAGATGATGAGCAGCAGCGACAGGATTTGAATCCCAGGTCTCTAAAAGCCTGAACATTCTAAAGGTGCATGAGGCTAAGGCTGAGCTGCTGTTCCCTCCCAACCCACCCCTGCCCTGCTCCAGGAGCCTGACCCTCCCACCCCCCTGGCCCCCCACTGAACTCCCACCCAACCCTGTCCCACCACCCCAGGCAGCCACAGTACCTGTTGAGGAGATCCAGGCCACAGCCTCTGGCCAGGAGGCCGTCAGGCTTCCCCAAAGGCCACACGCTATCGGAGGATGAGGACGAGGAGAGGCCAGGAGACCAGGGCTTAAGCGTAACACTCCCTGGGCAGGGGTGGGGGGGGAGGAAGTGAGGTTCTGGGGTGCCAGACCAAGAAACCGGGGCAAACCAGGGCCTGTGAGAAGGGGGTGAGCCCCTGGAGCCCAGAGACTGCCCAGGACCTTAGCAGGTTTGAGGCCCCAGAAGCACACTGGACCCGCGGGGCTCAGGGCTGGGCCGGGGTGACCCTAGAGAGAGTGGAGGGCGGGCTGGGACCAAGGAGCCCGTATAGCACAGCCAGGCATGGGAGAGAAGAGCAGGCCTGGGCTCAGGGGGAGTGGCATGGCCCGACTCCCCACCCAGGCTCTCCCTGAGCACAGCCTCCCCTGCCTGGCCAGGGCTCAGTGGGGCCTCAGGAAGGGGGGGCCAAGGGCAGAGCTGGCAGTTCAGGCCTCAGGTGGGCTGGAAAGCCACCCCCCACAGATGAGCCCTCCCCACGGAGTCCCGGAGGGTCATTACCTGTGATGTCGGACATGCTGCTGAAGGACCTGGGGGTTGGGGGGAGGCAGGAGCTGAGGCACAGGGAGCACTCTGCCCCACTCCCCTCCTCCTGCACCCTGGCCACCAAGAGGTCCTGCAGCCCCCAAGCACGCAGAGGCTACAGCTAAGGCGGGGGTCCCAAGCACAGGGCAAGTGTGCCAACCAGGAACCCTAAACTCACAGGGCAAGAAGCTAAGATCCTGACCTCCATCCCACGTCCTTGCCCCTAGAATGCCCCCTGGACTGTCCTGAAATGCCACCCCCTCCTGGAAGCCTCTCCTGACCTCTCACCAACCCCTCGCCTCACCCCTACTTTCCGCCTTTGTCATTCCTGACTCCCCGGTGCCTTCCTCATCACACACCCTAGTCACGGGGGACGCGCTCATCCAATCAATCAAGTCCGTGTTGATCACGGCCTCCCGTGCCCAGCACCCGTAAGGGAACAAATCAAGGGCAACTTGCCCGGAAAAAGCTGTGACGGGGGACATATACCATCCCCTGACCTTGGTCTTGCCACCACCAGACAGCCTGGTTTTTCTGGACCCCGTTTGCCGCTCTGAACGTGTGGCCTGGCTTTCTTGCCTGAGGCCCCTGACCCCTTGGAACATTCTCCATGTCCCCTAGTCCTGAACCACCTAGATGTCCCCTGGGGTTTAGGATCATTGAGGCTTGCCCTCCTGGGGCTCTCCTGCCAGGGTGCTCAGCAGGGGTGAAACCCACTCCGCCCTCTGGCCTTGTCTTAGCCCCTGACCTGGGTCACGGCTGTGACTCCTGGGACCTGAGTCCCCAGCACCCCAGCCATTGAAGAGCCGTCTAGGGAGGTGCCGGCCCAGCCCTGACGCTGGCGCTAGGGATTCTGGGAGATGGCTGGAGAAACAGCAGCAGCACGTCCCTGAGCCTCGACTGCTTTCTCCCCATCCTGTTTACCTCTTCGGGGGTGCAGGGTCCTCCTCACGCTGCCTGCGGAGGATGGAGCCAGCGCTTGGGGGGAAGGGCAGGATGGAGAGCCGGTTGATCTCCTTCTCGCTGTCTGTGGCCTCCTCCTACCAACAGCCACGACAGGGTCTGGGTCACCTCCACGGTGTCTCCCACACCTCAACACCCCTACTTTGTGCCCATTCCACAGGTGACAGACAAGTAGGGCCCAGGGCGGAGGTGTGGGCCCTGCAAGAGTACAGTGGGGGTCCCAAGTCTACTGGCACCCAGGCCCAGCCCCGAGCTGGTTCTGGGCGAGCTTAATTAAGGCGCTTGGGGACCTCAACATCCTCACATGTGAAATGGGACTGTCGGCAAACTGGACAGCACTCCACATGTTAGTAATTACGTCACATGAACACTATTAGCATCCGTACCCCGCCCCCGCCACACTCGGGGAAAGCAGGTGTCTTACCGAGGTGTGGGGCTCGGATCCCCCCATAATGGCCGCCTCCCCAGCTGCTTCCGGACCTCCTAGCAGCGGGGGGAACTCGCTGAGGCTCCACGTGCTGCTGAGGTTGGAGCACAGGGAATGGGAGGAGGCACAAGCCTGGGAGAGGAAGGGGGAGAGAGGAGGTGAGCAGGGCGGGGCAAGGGTCAGCCACAGGCATTTACTGCATGCCAGGAGGAGCAGGGACAGAGCAGGGAATGAGACAGCTGGATCCCTGCCCTCACGCAGCTCACAGCCTAGAGCAGACAAACTGTAAACAAGCAGGCTGATTAAGGAAATAACCCCAAACCGCCAAGAGAGCAGAGAAGGAAGGTGCCCAGGGCGGGGAAGGCACTCAAAGGGCCCACCCTACCTGGGGGCAACGGAGTGCTTTCTAGAGAAAGTGTGGTTTGAACTGAGGACTCAAGGACAAGTAGGCGTTAAGCAGATCAAGTTGGGGAGGATGGTCCAGGCCGATGGAATGGTATGCACAAAGGCCCTGGGGCAGGACTGTGACACAATCCAGGAATTAAAAGATTGTGACCCAGGGAACAGGGTTAGAAGGAGGAAGGGGCCCACCTTTCAGGTCTCTAGGGCCTGATAAGGAGCTTTGTCTTTACCTAAAAACAAAAAGCCACTGAGAATTTTAAGTGAGAAGAGACAGATTCATGCTTCCTTTGTTCTATTCCTCCAGGCTCCATGTGTCAAATACAGGGCCAAGGGATCATCTTCAAGCAAACCCAAGATAGGAAAAGGCAGAGTTCCTGACAGAGGTCCAAGGACTAGTATCTGGTTGAAAGGGGCGCTGGCTGGCTGTGGGACCTTGAGCAAGCCCCTGACACTCTCTGGGCCCTATACAATGAGGGAATTGGACTAGCTGGTCTCTGAGGGGCTTTCAGGCCCTCATGCGGCCAGGCTTCTCCAAGCGTCTGCAAAAACAAACTTCACTGTTCCTGGTGCCCCAGGAGCAACCCCAGAGACTTGGAGACACACGTGCCCCTTTCCCATCCCAATGCACCAACCACACCCACCCCAACGGAAAGCTCCACCAGCCATGCGTATTCTCCGTCCTGCCCAAGAGCTCCCTCCCAGACCAGCAGGTTCTTGACCCAGGGGGAGGGCTCCAGCCAGGACCCACGTATTTCCTCCCGGAACCTGCATCTTCCCGAGCCCAGCCGAGGGTTCCCACTGCGTCCTGCGGAGTCCCACCCCCGGGGCTGATGTCTCCCACCAGGTCCTGCATGTTCCCAACCGCGGCCAAGAGCTCCTGCCGGGACCGCAGCATTCCCACCAAGACCCCTGTAACGCTGACCCCGCTCACCTTGAGGCAGGGGCCGCCCTGGACCCGCTGTAGCTGTGCTTCCAGCAGAGCCTTGGCGCCCTCCAGGCTGGTGAGCGCGGTCAGCAGCTCGTCCCGCTCAGCCTCCAGGCCCCGCACCTGCTTGCGGTACTGGTCCTTCTCAATGAGACTCTGGGAGTACTGCAGCTGGATCCGGTCACGGCTCTGGATGGCCTGGGGAGAGCGGGCAGCGAGGGTGAAGGGGCCACACTGGCCCAACTGTCCTGCCCTCTACCCTCTGGGATGGGGGGGTCAACAAGACCAGCAGCTAACGGGTAGTAAGCCCTTCCTGGGTGCCCTGTGCTAAATATCAGCTCGTTTAACCTTCACACGAACTTTCCAAGGTGGACATTCTCTTTATTCTCATTTTACAGACAGCCCAGCCAGCAGGGACAGAGCTGGGATTCAAACTCAGGCGGTGGAGGTGCCGAGTCCAGGCTCTTGCCGTCTCCCAAGAGCAACTTAAGCCTCTTCTGGGAAAACCCACTGGGTGCCTGGGGCTCCACTCACAGCATCCCGGGCTAGCGGAGCAGCTGGGATTCAAACCCAGCACACCGCACCCAAAGCGCTTGTCCCCACCATGAAGACCAGGGTCCCTGGGAGCTGGACAATGGCCGGGACCTGCCCCCCAGTGGCTCAGGGGGTGTGGGGGGCCAGAGGCAGTGCAGGGTCCTGGGCCCAGCCCAGACCACCAGGTCACCTGCACTTTCACCACGCCCACCAGTGGTCCCCGAGGCTCGTTCTAGTGGGATTCGAACTTGGTGCAAGGACAAAACCTCCTGCCCTGCCCCCTGCATGGGGAGCCCTCCACAAGGAAGGCGGGGGACCAGGAGGAGATGGCCCGCCCTGTGGCCTCAGGAGATGAAGATCATGAGACCCAGGGCCCAGGAGTCAGAACTCTAGCGAATTTCTTCACCGGCAAAGATTTGCAAGCGCGCACCACCCCCACCCCCCCCACCCCCGTATTGGCCTTGTCCTTGACGTGAAGGGAGGAAGGGATTTGGAATTGACAGGTGCCAGGACCAGCTTTCCTGAATGAGGAGCTCAGGTGAGGCAGGTGTGTTCAGGGGGCGGGGCTGATGGATCTCCAGTGCTTAAAGGCCGGAGTCTGTGCTTCTGCGGGCCTCCTTGCCCCTCCCAGACCAGTCCGAGCACCGGGAAAGTCTCCAGCTACAATCCTAGTCCCGCTTCTCCTCGTCCTACCGAGTATGAGAACCAGCGGCCGGCCTCACCTGGTCCCGCTCCTTCTCGATCTCCTCCAGCTGGGCCAGGACCGTGGCCATTCGGTGCTTGTAGAGGTCGCAGTCCTTCTGCAGTGTGCGATGCTTCAGCCGCAGGTCCTCCATCTCCTGCAGGTACTGCAGGCCGGGCGGGGTGGAGCCGGCCGGGACGAGCACCCGGGTCAGACCATGGGGCCGGGCACCGGGGCAAGCTCACCAGCAGGTGCCCAGCGGGTCCAGGGAAAGAGGTCTGAGCCTCAAGCACAAGGGCCCACCTCCCCAGCTGGGTGGCCTGGGCCACAGACTGACTTCCCCTCCCTGGGCCTCAGTGGCCTACCCTGTAAAATGGGGATAATCCTAACAATGACACCCTCCCAGGCAACCCTGGCCTCCCCATTTAAACTGGGATCTGACCTGCTGCTCTGCTTCTTGCCCAGCACTTACCCTCTGCTACGTGAAGTAACTGACTTAGGATTATGTGCACAGAGTACTGTTGGTCTCCCCTATGAGAATTTACCCTCTACAGGAACGGAAACCTTTATTTTGTTGGCTGCAGTGTCTCAAAATTCGAGAACAAACGAACGCACGCTTCTTAGCACGGTGCCTGCCACACAGCAGACGCTCAGAGTACGTGGGCTGCAGTACCCTCCCCTCCCTAGGAGCCGGGCTGTTAGCAAGAAGGAACGCAGGGACAAGGCCGGGACAAGGCGGGGTGGTGGGGTGGGGCGCGAGGGAGACGCTACCTTGTCTCGCAGCTCCTCAGCCCACTGCAGCTCCCCCTGGACGGCATGCAGCTTCTGGCACAGCTCCTGCCTGCTGTCCTGAGCCTCCCGCCAGTCATGCTCCAGGATGTCCAGGAGGATGCGCTCTGAGCCTGGGGCCCCCAGCCTGCTCGCTTCCTGAGGGGCACAGTTCAGAGGCTGCCTCAGCCTCTCTTCGCCCAGGGCCCGCCGTGACTGAGGCAGGAGGGAGGGGGACACACAGCCCTCAGCCCCGCCCCACTTGCTCTGCCACCTTGGCCAAGAGCCTCGACCTCTCTGGACCTCCGTTTCCCCGTCTGTAGAGTGGGTGCGGCCCACAGCCCTGCACACCCTCCAGGGAGCAGCTGGGGTGGAAATGAAGTAAGTGGCTGAGGGTGTGCTTACACAAGTTGGCCCGGATTTTATTCCTAAACAAGAACCAGGCCCGCTCACCCTTGCTCTGGCCCCCACCCACCGCCCAGGGCAGCTGATGGGTGCTGTTTCCAAAGCCTGTCCCCACCCCTCTGACAAGGGGTCTTCACAGCGGCTGAGCCTGGCCCAGGTGGGTAGACCACGGGCCCGAGATCCAGCCCACACACCCACACCCCGGCCGGGCACCCCAACCCTGTGAAATACAACGGAACCCCGGCTCCCATCCCCCAGGCAGCAGGCCCACACTGCCACTGACCCGCCACGGACCGGCCACGGGACACCAAGCAAGCCCCAGGGCCACGCAGACTCAGGGATCTGAACCTTTCCAGGGTCAGAGACTCCTCTACCAATCTGAGGAAAGCTACAGGCCTCTCCCCAGAAAAGTGCTCACACGAAATCAGGTGCACCGTTTCGGGAAGTTCAGAGATTTCCTGGGGCCACCCCCAGGCCCCAGACCAAACACCCAGGGAGAGCTGAGCACTAACGAAGGACCCTCCACTCAGGGCTTAAGACAAGACGCCCGCCAGGATTCCATTTCCGCTCCAGAATCCTCACCCTCCAGGCCTCAGGGGGATGAGTGAGCAGCCGGTGGTCTGACCCCCCACACACACCCTCCCCCTCAATGGCCCTCGTACCTGCTGCAGGCCTTCCTGAAGCTCCTGCAGGGACGCAGTCAGCCGCTGGTTCTCGGCGCGCAGCTCGGAGACCAGGTCCACGCTGTCCGGCTCCTTGTCCTTCTCCTTGTCCTCGGCCCCGGGGAGCGGCCCCCTGGCCCTCCGCAGCAGGGTGCACTCCTCCTCCAGCCGGCTCACCTTGAGCTTCAGCTGATCCACCTGGGGCCCAATACATGGATCAGCCCCAGGAGGGACGCAGCCCGGGGAGGGGCCACCGGTCAGGGCACGGGGAGAGGTATCACCCTCTCAACTCCCCCTGCCTCCAGGGTTCCCTGAGCAGGAGTCCTCCCTGGACTGGTCTATGAAGACGGGACAGGCTGGGGAGTCCCAGCGGACTGTGCTTCAAGGACTTGGGGGTGGGTGTAGCGCATCCCCACAGGCTCGTCTGTCCCACAGCTCCAACACGGAGCGCCGGTGATCCAGCCCTGGGCCGGCGCGACAGAAGAGCAGGGCTGCGCCAGGATCAGGGAGAGCCGGCGTCTGGGCCCAGCTCTGCCTCGGACTCAGCATGACAGTGGACAGGCAGAGGCCTTCAAACTGTCAGAGGCTGGCTTTCGGACTGCCAGGGGTGGGATGGTGGCTGTCTTCACAGCCTTCACTAAAATCCCAGAACCCCAACCTGTCACCAGCTGAGTGTGGGCCACCGGAAGCTGGCCCAGGGCGGGGGGTGGTCAGCTGCATGGTGGCCTGGCCGACGGTGACACAGTCTGCTTGCTGGATGAGGAGTGCACCCGAGAGTTATTTCACATGTGGGGTCTGAGGTGGCCGGACAGTGACAAGACTAGCAGCAGGTGTCAGGCCACAAAATGAAGTAACTGTCGGGACAAGGACACAATGACCTCTGGCGCTCTGCGTAGGCATGCCAATGTCTGGTGTCCTAGGAGCGCCCTGGCCTCTCTTGGAAATGGCTGGTAGCCCTGCACCCCTCAGAGCCAGGCGTGGCCACACACACACGCACGCGCTCGCACACGCACACACACGCATGAGCGCTTGCACACGCATACACACACGCTCACGTGCACACACACACACACACACACACTCGCGGGTCTGGATGCTGGGTCAGGCAGCTCCACTCCTCCTCCACAAAGGACTCAGAAAGAAATTCATGACTCTCACATTCCTTTCCCCTCACAAAACATGCTTTGTAAACCGCCGGAGAAAGACAGCTAGTTACAAGGGCAAGTGTGGTCACACCCTCTCCAGCGAACTGCCCCCACACACCACGGCCTCCGGCCTGCCCCGTGGCCAGCAGGCGCCCTCGATGAGCTCAGAGGACAGGCCACTTGGGAGTCTTCCCCTGAACACCAGGAAACGCGGATGCCTTTAATCCTGGCGTACAAACTCACTGAGCACAAAATTACAGCGTTCGGTCCTGAAGTTTATGTTGCTCAGAAATAAGAGCTCATTAAATTTGCACCTTATAAAACACGGTATTAAATCACAGCCACCACACACCTGCCCGTGGAGGGAGGGGACCCAAGCAGCCAAGACAGGCGCCATCAGCTACTCTGTTCATCTCCACCTGCAACACCTCTGGTTAATTTTGCGGCAGGAAAGCTCCGAAAAGTTAAGGCAAATTTACACTAGGTACGTTCTAAGAAAATCTTATCTACTGGTTAAAGTTCATCCCTTGCCCTCTATCCCCTAAACTGGGGGAAAGCGGTCACTATCTGCCCAGGGGCAGATGACCTCAACCCGCGGTGGGCATACGAACATGCACCTGCTGCTAATCTGCAGACACACAGAGGCACCTCCAACACCTCTTCTTCATTCCCTATCCCACCCCAGGAGACCCCAGACAGCTGTACACACACACACACACACACACACACAGAGGACATCCCCCCAGGCATATACATGCATTTGCCACTTCAGGGGATCCAACTCACAACTACACCCAACCCAAAGACAAAACAAGCCATGCCCCTCCTGACACCCCGGGGCTGGTGGCTGTCCCACTGTCCCCTCTGAGTAGCCGACCCCTTTCTTCCAGGGAAACCTCACAGCACACCCCACATCCGTCTCAGGAAAAGCAGACACGGCAAAGAAGGGGGGGCCCTAGGCCGGCCCCAGCAGTGCTGACAGCAAAGTCAGAAATCCTTCACTCCTGGGCTCCCGGGAAAGTGCTCTAACCAACCTCCCTGAGCCAGTTTCCTCATCCGGAAATGGGGGCGCTCACAGTGTGCCCCCCCCGGCCTGTCCCGGTGGAGCTGCTGAAGTCAGGGAGCTGGTGCAGGGCAAAGAGAGGACCATGCCTGAGGCGGGAGGTGTGGGACCGCGGTTCCAGCAGCCTCGTCTGCGACCTCCTGCGAGGACCAGAAGGCAACTGAGGCACAGGGAGGGAAGCCTTTTGCCAGGGCCACCTTTGCTCAGTCTGCCGCCAGTCTGCAGGCCTCAGACAGCCCCATCTCGTGCCAAACACCAGCCAGATGCACACCCTCCCATCGGCCACCTACAGTCTTCAGCACGCCTGGCAGTCTTCAACGAGCGGCCTCCGTGCCCCCAGTCAGGACTCTCTCGTCCCCAAACATCAACCCGCCAGCACGCACGGCCGCAGGCTCCGGCACACCGATGGGCACCAGCACCTACAGCCTCCCACGGGCCACCCATCGTCCCCGGGAGCCCACCGCACCCGCAGCCCCGCAGCGACGGGGGGCTTCAGATCACACAGGCAGCATCCTCCCCGTGGACCTCGTACCTATCGTTGGGGAGAGCCCCCTGGGTGCCACTGGCACTGCTAAACCCTGGACAAGCATTCGCTCACTAAGCCCTTCGGACAAGTCCCTGCAGCGGGAAGACACCAGCTTTACCCCGTGCTGAGTCCCAGGAAGGAGCCCAGAAGGCCGGCTCGGCTTCTCGGCCTGGACGAGGCGCAGGCGCACTCACCGCCGAGAAGGAGCAGGCCCCCCGCCCCCGGACGGGAGCAGGCAGAAGAGCATCACAGGGCGGAGGCCCGCGCTGGTGCCCGGCGGACCTGGTGGCAAGCCAGGCTGTGCCGCTTCCCGGCTCTGTGCCCTTGAGCAAGTGCCTCCGCAATCCCGGCCTCGGTGCCTATGTTTCAAAATGAAACCTGGTGCTTGGTGCCTCAGCGGGAATCACAGGACGTGACGTGTGTAACCTCAGTGGTGGCAGCGCGCGGTCGCACTTAATGACAGCCGCCGCCGACAATCCAGGTCTGAGCGCTAACGGCGCCAGGCACCCGTGTGTCTCAAACTCTGGGTCTGAAACTCCTAGAATCCTCACTAACCAGGGCTGCTTCTCCACCTCGGCCCTTACCGACCTCTTGGGCTAGGTAATTCTTGGCCGTGGGGTCTGTCCTGTGCTCTGCAGGCTGCCCAGCGGCATCCCGGGGCTCCCCCCCTAGAGGCCCAGAGCACACTCCTCGCTGGGAGCACCAGACACGTTTCCAGACACAGCCAAATGTGTCCCCCGTTGAGAACCACCCTCGTAACTCAACATCAGTGCTACCAACAGCCCCGTGTTACAGATGAGGAAACTGAGGCACAGGATGAGGACAGGACCTGCCCCGTGGCCCGACAGCTGGGAGATGGTGGCTCTGGGACACAGGCCGGCTACCCCATGACCGGTCAGTTTTCTCAAAGGTCGCTTCCCCACTCTTCCCCGCCCGCCCCTCCCAGGGGCCTACCGCCAGCTGCAGGTCCCGGCTGCGCAGCACTGCGGAGTTCTTCTCCTCGCTGAGCTGGGCCAGGCGCATGGCGATCATGTAGTTCTCGTCCTTGAGCCGCAGCAGCTCCAGGCTGCCCGCCTCCCAGTCCTCCCTGAGGCGCTGGCAGCGCTCCTGAGCCTGCTGTTGCTCCCGCAGCCGCTGCTCCAGCCCCGCCCGCTCCTCCTCCAGCACCCGGCCCCGAGCCTGCAGTTGCTGCTCCCGCTGCAGCTGGCTCTTGCGAGCCTCCCGCAGCCGGCGCACCTCCGTCATCAGGAACTGGGTCAGGCCTTCCGGCCCCTCCTCATCTGCCAGGGACAGGGGAGAGAAACGTCAGGTCAAGCCGATGAAATCCAGGGGGATAGCAGCCTGCACCGAAAAACCCAAACCGTGAAAACGCTAGACGGAAATTCTGGAACGTCGTTTTAGCATTCTGGAGTAGAGGAGGCCTTCCTAATCAAGGTACAAAATCTAGAACCTATAAGAGAAAAGATGGACAAATCCATATAAAATTTTTTTTAACTTCTAAACAATGTAAGAAAAGATGTAACAAAAGAAGTTAAAAGATAAACAACAGAAAAGGAGAAAGTACAATAAACGTAACAGATGACTCAGAGCCACTATATATAAACAGCTTCTACAAATCAATAAGAGCTATAAGAGAAAAAATGGACAAATCCATATAAAAATTTCTAAAACTTCTAAACAATGAAAGTTATGACAAAAAAAGTTCAAACATAAGAAGTGGAGCAGGAGAAAATATAACAAATATAACAAAAGATTCAGAGCCACAATATAAAAAGAGCTCCTACGAATCAATAAGAAAACACAAACCAAAAAAATATATGGGCAAAAACTACTAATAGGCAAGTTCCGAAACAAAATTGGTTAATAAACAAAGGAAAAAATACTCCAACTCACCAGCAATAAAAATCATAACAATAATAATAATAATAGTAACCATGAACATTTGGCTCCATTCTTTGTGCTAAGTAAATATAATAATTTACTTAACCTCATGACAACAGTATAAGGTAGGTACTATTGTTACAACCGCTTGAAAGACAAAACAACTGAAACACCGAAAGGTCAAGTCATTTGCCCAAGGTTTACTAGCTAGTAAGCTGTGAACGACATCTCAATGAAGTACAAATTTAAAATAAGATATTTTTTGACATATGAGACTGCCAAAAACATTTTTAAATGGTCCCCGGGATTCATGAGGGTACAGCAAATTGGGCACTCAGACCCTGCTGGTGGGATGCACACTGATTTAACACTTAAAATACGTATGTACAGTCTTTGAGAAATTCTACTTCCCAAACCTCTCATCCTGAGACACCCATTTGCACAAATATACACATACAAAGATGTTCCCTGCATCACTGGTACGTTACAAAACCAGAAACAACCTGGATGTCCATGAACAGGGGTCGGTTAAATGACTTATGGCACAATATCACTAAGGAACATGTGCAGTCATTTCAGATAAATGCACCAGATGCGCAAGAATCACTAAAATCAGTTCTCAGGAAAAGTGAACAAGTGTGTGTGTGTGTGTGTGTGCAAATGCAAAGAAAAAAAGCGACTCACCAAACTGTCACCAGCAGAACAGAGCTGAAGGAAGAAGTAAAGATCTTTTCTATTTATTCTAAAGTCACCCGGGGTGTCTGAATTATTTACACAGGAAACCGTAAACCCGTGTATGCCTGACACGCGTGCATCCGAAAACAATTTTAGGGGGAAGAGCCATGTTAAGTGTGCAGGCTCTGAACTCAGACGAAATGGATCAGAATCCCAACTTGGGCAAACTGCTTCCGGTCGCTCCATGCCTCAGTTTCCCTATCTGTTCAACAGGGATAGCGGAAGTGCCTCCACGACAGGGACGGGGTAAAGAACCTCTGCACGGGTGCCCCGGATGCCAGCACCCGCTGCGGACTCACTCACCAAGGATCATGGAGCAGCGCTGGGCGGGCTCCTGGCCTGTGAGCAGCGTGTAGTGTTCGGGGTAGTAGAACTCCAGCGATTCCAGGAAGGCCTCATAACCCCTCTTGCCACGGCAGCGCAAGATGTCCATCAGGCGCCCTGGGGAGTGGCAGGGGGTGCCCCAGGGTCAAGGTCAGGGCTTCCCCCAGTGCCTAGCCACTTCCTCCCCCTTTCCCTCTCCATGCTCCAGGGCCCACGTTCCCCAGACTTTATTTCCCCAGATTTTTGAGCCAGTGACACACACAGGGGCCTGTCTCAACACATCAGTGGGCAGAGCCTGTCTGCCCGAGCCAAGAAAGCCAGGACCCTCCTGCCACGCACCTGTGTTTCAATGGCTCCCCAACCCCCAGCCTGCCCACCACCGCTACACACACACACAGATCCAGGGCCAGCAAATACTCCCTGCCTTTTCAGTGGCACACAGGAATCCCCCTACCCCAAATGCAAAGTAAAATACTATCATTTCCCCCACCGGTCAATGCCTGAAATTCCACCATTAGACCCTCATCCCTTTGCTAGCTAGCTCTAGTTCAAAGACACACCCTGTGGGAACGGGCACCCTCACAAAGTTTGATGTCTCTTGAGCACTTACGGAAAAACGGCTCCCCAAGGAATGTGTGGCACACAGAGGTAGAGGGCAGAGAGAACCCAGGAGATCAAAAGGCACAGGAAAGATGCCCGGAGGTCCCAGATCTAGACTGCACTGGCAACCACATCCACCTCCCTGCTCTAAAGTGGGCCCAGGAAGTGGGAGGAAAGTCCAAGATAGATAAACCCCAGATGCCCAAGTGGGCACCACACACCCGCTGGATCGTAATGGTGGTTCAGCAGGAGGCAGGATGGTGGGCACCAGAACCCCGGGCCTCGAGCGCCAAGGCTCGGTGCGCGGCGCTCGGGGGCGGGGGGGGGGCGGGCAGTCAGCCCGGGGAAGGCCCGACCCCGCGCGCCCCCCGCGGCTCACCGGTGCGGTTGACACGGCACGGGAAGCGGTAGGTGCTCAGCACCTCCTCCTCGTCCTGCTCGTCGATGACCCGGCACTGGCGCAGATAGGGCGTCAGCTTGGCCGGGTTGAGGGCGCGAGTCAGCCGGTGCCGGACGCCCTCGATCCGCTCCCACAGAGCGTCCTCCTCCGCCTCGGACCCGGAGCCGGCCCCAGCCTCCTCCTCGGCCTCCCCAGCCTCGGCCCCGCCCGGCATGGCCGCGTCCTCGGGGTCTGCGGGCCAGAGGCGCGCGGGGGTCAGCC